ATCTGTAAATAATTTTTATCTGTACATCATTTGTACATAATATGGCCACCATTTTTCTCGATAGGTTTATAAGTTTAGTTACACTCCCTATATTTTATAATTTAGTTAAAGTTCAACAATTAATGTTTCAATATTTTCTAATTGACTTTTTTCAACTTGATTTTTACCTGAATGATTGTTTATTCAATTCCCGTCATTATAACTTTCTTTAAAAAAATCTAGCTTTTTAACTCCAACTAACCTTTTTGGTTGACTGGGAAAGTTCTTTGTTCGTCTTCATTACTACTCAAATTGTATCGGCCTGAGTGACCAATACGTGAAAAATTCCGATAAATTACTGTTTAAGTTAAATAGTAATTATTAAAATTAAATAATAATAAAATACTAAAGAAGTGTTTTTCATATAATGCAATAAATTAACTAATTATTATTTTAATTCTATAATTATTCATTAATTATAAAATTTCAGGCCTCGATACAACAGGAATTAATTTTATATTAATATAAGTCGTAAATTATGAGTTTATTTTAACAAAATTTCAACCAGAATATTTGCTTAAAAGACATTTTTGAAACCATAAATGGAAAAATTATTATATTTACTAATTTAAATCGGCTCCATAACAGAATCAACGTAGGTACAAAGAACAAGAAATTCGATCTATTATTTCGATAAAAGGAAATGGAATCGCTCGGAATCTATGCAAAGTGGTACATATTTATATATAATATGCATTGCAGTTTGTGTATAATATGCAGCAGAGTAATGAAATAATGAATAATTAAATCTAATCATACAATCGGATTTTACGACTGACTGCAAACTTGTGTAGTTTAAATTGCCCGCATCACAAAAATGTAGAAAAGTTTGTTTGTAAATTATTTTATTGTTTATAACGTATTTAAATTGTTTGAAATAAAATTTAAAAAAAAAAACCCTTAAGTGTTTCGTATATTTTAAATTTTCCCGCACAAGATTTTTTTTTAGAAAAATGGCACAAATTTTAATTATTTAGGGGCCCCAGATAATGTTAGCCCAGGGCCCCCAAAGGTCACGGTCCGGCCCTGCACCCGAGGCCCCGTAAACAGAGAGAACAAATACACTTCAGACCCTTTAATTAAAATCCACTGAAGAGCAAGACTTATTCCAGCAGCCACGTAATTCTGGCTCCAAATATCAAACTCAAGGATAAATTCAGCAATGAATAAGTAATAGCTTAAAAAACTAAAAAAACACGCTTTTATTTACGAACTAAAAAATGAAAAATAAATTATAATTTAAAAAAACTAAAGAACACTCTTTTATACTGAATCGAACTAAAAAGTAAAAAAGTAATTCTTAATATAAGAATAAAATTATTAACGAGAAAATTTATGTCATTGGGGTAAAAGCGTGGGGTGTTCTATAAATGTATCAATTGTTATAATTGCTAATTTTTATTCCGAAAAGCTGAATTAGTGTAAAAATGTAGTACAAAGCACCCCACGCTTTTACCCCAATGACATTAATTTTCTCGTTAATCATTTTATTCTTATATTAAGAATTTTTTTTTACTTTTTAGTTCGATTCAGTATAAAAGCGTGTTTTTTAGTTTTTTTTTAAGACTATAATTTTAAATTATAATTTATTTGTTATAGAATTATAACTTTCAATATCGCTGGGGTTAGTTTTCAACGATAAAATGTTATAGAATAATAAATAGTGTATATTGAAAGTTCTTTGAAATACAAATCCCAATGATTAAATAATAACTCTCAATATTTTTTGTTTCTTACACTTTTAAACTTAAATATACAAGCAAATAAGCATAATTCGGTAACTTTATGCAGATTTATAAATGAATTCTGGATTCTTTGCACATGTAAAATATTTTTTAATTATAAATTCTCTCAATTACATTTTGCATTCGCCAAAAATATAAAATTTTCTACAGACATTTTCGAATATGCAAAAAATAGAATACAAACATTTCTTTAAAACATGGACATTGCAAATTTTTGTATCATTGTTTTTAATCAGTGGTGGGTCACGTAAGACCTCCGGATTGTGTGCATCAGGATTACGGTTGTAGTTTATTCATTATTGTTTTGTTAGTATTCAGCTAATTCTAGAAGAATCTCAAAGTTCAAAATTATGCGACAATTATTGTCGAGGAACGATAAAAATAAAGCTTCATTTGCATACACATATACACTTTGTCAATACGAATCAATTCTACAGAAAAAAATGTTGCATAAAATTAAGTTAAATGCACAGAGTTTTAGCCATTTTTCAAAGTCTAGTTTTTCGCTCTCTCTCTTAGCATTCAATATATTAAATTGCATTAATTGTGATGTGTGCTTATATGACAACACGATAGAAGTGAAAACTTCAAACTTTGTAATGTTATTTCAGGCATTAGTTCGGTGAATAAAAAAACAAGGGGATGCTAATATTGTCATATAAAATTATTTGTTCATATGTCTGTACTCATAAAGTAATATTTTTTGCAAAATATGGAAACGGAATTAATATATATATATATATATATATTAATTCAATATATATATACATATGTGTGTGTGTTATAGGTTTATGGTAGCTGAAATAGGTGTAAATACTTTATAGATTCAAAATTATTTAAATATCTAAGAAAAACTCCGTCAAGCGTTGTTCCATACTTCGTCGTGCTTTCCCTTGGAGCATTTGACATAATTAAATTGAATTTTGATTTTAAAGAATAAACTGTTTTTGATTTGGCGCGTTTGAAAAATCTACATTAATATCCCCACTTAAAATCATAGGTAATTTGTTCAGAGAGCCGATTCGGCTTCAGTGTAAGCAACTAAATTTTTGTGAATGAACTCGATAATTTTCCCTACTCTCTTTAATTTACTGAAATATAAATAGCAACCATTATAATTATTTGTCCAATTTCTGCTTTACATTTCGCTGTATAAATTTCTCCGATACATGACTGATTAAACTCAAATGGGATTCTGTACTATTTGATGCTACATCCATTCTCTATATTGTATAAAAAATGAATTATAAGGAAGTACATGCACATTGAATAAAATACAGATCGATAATTGAATATTTAAAATAGATAAAACTGGGAAATATATAAAAAATAAACATTAATTTAATTGGCCTTAAATATCTTAATTTTTCGATTATCCTCCGCCGTTAAAATTTCTTCTGTGCGATAGTTTAAATAATTATTTAAGCATATACTTCAGAATGTAATGAATATTTTTAAAAATAAATATGAAAATGCAGGTGTATTACAGTATACAGAAGATGAAGAAAACGAATTTCAAGATATTCCACAATTCATGTAATTCCAGATATGCTTCTGTTATGCTTGTAAAGCAAGATAATTGGCAATCAACTTTAAGATGTTCTGACTCGAATCTTTTCTATATTAGTAAAATAAAAATAAAATGTTGCGTTGAAATGATTTTCATAACAATATAAGTGGCATTTTCAAACCTCCTCTATCCAAAGGTCTCAAATATTTTGTCCCTTCGAAATTTTCTGAATAGAAATTGATTTTTTTTAAATCTGCAACAAATATATATTTGCAATCGGATCATTCGTATTTTATATTATGCATGCAATAACCCACTATTTGCATTAAAAATCTTGATACTCTTCTCCATAAATATCATCTGATATATTTTTAAATTCCCTAGGGATTGTCTTTTTCGAAGTTTGTATCAACATTTCGTCTCATTGGGAAACAAAAAAACTAACAATTTAAGCACACAAGAGGGAAGACTGAGTATTACTCAAAACCGGGGAAAACACCCCACTTTTAATCACGTGATTTCTTTTTAGGGGTGTGTATGTCGCGGACTATTGAATCTTGACCGACCCTGCCCAAACACATTTTCCGAAGAAAACGAAAAAGCCGAATGAGCGTTACATTCCCCAGCGTGACGCTTTATTCTAGTTCACTCTTCAGCAAAACGCGCCTAAAGCAGTTATCACTTCAAAAAACTTGCTTGTCAAACTTTGCAAAAACCAAAAATTTAACATGTGTTCGTCAAGGACTTGTTCTTTATTTAAATAATTGTTATAAAATAGGCAAATGCAAAAATTATAAGGTTAAAAAGTTTTTTTTTTTAAAAAGAATTTAATTTTGTATTAACTAAAATCGATATGGTGCGAAGAATACTGGAGATCTTTATAAACAATGAAATTTAGGAAAACAAATAGATGTAAAAAGAGAGGCACTGAGAGCGAAAAAGTAAATTTGAAAGGGAAGCATTAAAATATATTGCTTAAAGGATTTTTTTAAAAAAAATTTTACCTTCTATAAATTGTTTATTTTGATGTGATTTATATATGTAATAATTCACTTAAATTTTCTCTCTGGGAATTTTAATTCATAATGATTTTTAGCACGGACGGTCCCTGCCCCCGGGCCCCGGCCCGTTGCAACTGTGACAAGCACAAAAATATTTCTTATAAAAAGAGTAAGCTGGCAGCGGTGGGATTCGAACCCACGCCTCGAAAGACTGGTGCCTAAAACCAGCGCCTTAGACCACTCGGCCACGCTACCTCACTTGAAACTAAACATATTCGATATTAATTTTAAAATGGCTGATAATTTTTTTTTATTTAAGTATGTTTTTAAAGAACTCGACGCTTTTTTTTATATATATAAATATGTGTTGTGACTGAATTCATATACAAACAACAGCAAATAAATAAATGATAAACTAGTCAACAAAAAAATAAAAGAAATTTTAAGATAGAAGAAATGTGGTTTTATGATATGTATTTTTTTATTTTTAATAACATACCTCTTATATAGCATATTACATTTTTTTCCTTCCTCAATGATAATGAAATTTATGTAACGAAAATAAAAGTTTAATTATAAGAAAAATAAAGTACGTATTTTGTATATAAAGTTATGTAGACAATTTTTGCATCTAATATATATTTTTTCAATTAATCTTAATGTGTTTTGAAATTTTATTTTGATATCAAGAAGTAAAAAACAACCCGCCCAGACAGCGACTCGAACCCGGGACCATTAGGTTACCAGCCTAACGTTCTACCGACTAAGCTATCCAGGCTCTAAGACGTCTTGCTTATTTACAAATAGGTAAATAAAACCGATTTTGTAAAAGTAGTTTTCGCACCTCATCCCCCCTATTTTTGTTCGTGAATATAATGCCCTAAGAACCTTCAATTCAGGGAATGTATTATCATTCATGCAGTATATCATTGAATGCATTAATTATTATGTTATTAAGTACCGCTTTAATGTAAAGGTAATTAATGAATTCATTTTTCATTTGTACCTTGTTATTTGATGTACCTCTCTCTGTCATTAGATATCTTTTCTTATAATCTTTCGTAATTAATCAAAAATTTTAGTGAATCCTTCATTATATTTTGCTTATATTTCTAGAATTGTAAGATAAATATTTCAAGGACTGTATTTATTGATAAATAATTTATAAATTCTAGTATGAGATAATTTAGAAATTTCTCATCAAAATTCCTTGGCCATCTCTTTGTGACTTTTACATTTCTAAAAGTAGGCACATCACAATTTAAAATCATTGTTTTAAATTATTTGAGAAAAACGAATTGCGTACTTTTTCTTCTTCCAGTTTGTTCTGTAGATAAGAGGAATTCTAGATGGGACCAAACTAAATTATAATTCTCTTTTAGGCCCTTTTTTGTTGGAAATCATGTCAGTTGGGCATCATAGGCAACTCAAATATTTGTGTTGCCATCTGACGTTAATACTCACTTCCGGATTTCTCATATCTTGTGATCAGTACATTTTTTCGGTAGGAGCATGCGCAATCGTGCAACATTTACTTTCTGTTCTGTGATCCAATCATTCTTTTTTTTTTATCATATGTTTCATGAATTCATTTTGAATAGAGCATGCGCAACTAACACAAACTGGGATAGTTTTTTATTCACGATATAAAAAAAAATTTCTGTTGCATGACAACCAAGTTATCCATTCGAAACCAAAGCTTCATCATCGGTACGTCATAATAGGTTGTCAGATGTCTTAGCGACGCAACTTTCTTTTCTAAACAAACAAAGCAGAATATTAAGTTAGTGTGTTAAGATATTTCCTTCAATGATAATTTCCTGTGTAAAATAAGTAGTTCACATCAAGAAATCAGCTGATACGATCACAGTAGGTCTGAATTTTTGACGATACATCATTTAAACGTTATTTTATTTCTCCGAAATGAAGTTTTCCCCCCTTTCAATCCTATGATAGATTTATGATCTTTGTCCTCTTTATCAGTGACTAGCAGACAAAGAAAAAAATTTATCTAGTTTTCAACTGAGTTGTTCTAACAGAAAGATTTAATTATTTCTTTCTGTTATGAAATTCGTCCTGTGTTTGTGATTCAAAGCAATTTTTCAACTTAAAACTACTGTAAACAATGCAGTTTTTCTTACAATATTTGATTGTGATACTGTGACAGTTATATTGGTTAGTATTAATAGTGTGTTATGGTTTGCTTAACATTGAGTATTCTGTGTTATTTAATTTTACTTATGAAAAAAATCATGTAAGGCTGTTTATAAATTAGCTTTTTGTTGTAATAGAACAATTTTATATTTTTATGATGTGTACTTATTGAAATTCCTGGAATATGTCTGAGAAATTTTAAATAGTAAAGTATTATGCATTTATATTGTTTTGGGATAAAGCTTAAGAAAACTAACTCTTTAAAATTTGTATTGCATATTAAAATCTTTATTTAGTTCAGTAATATTGCGCATCTACTTATAAGTTATATATATCTTAAAACAGAATTATCTGAAATCCTCGTAACAAAACAAAATTTAAAGATGGTATTTATTATTTTAAATCTATTTTTTTTAATGTTTATTTTTAAACATGATAGTCAATATGACTCTCAGAAAATGAGATTGACAATACTGTAGTATTAGCTTTTCTTTGACAAATCTAGAGTTTTGGATTTGTATCTTTGAAAAGATGGTTCAAATTTATCCAATACTTTTTACACTTTTTTTGAAAAAACTTCTGTGTAATTTATATATTTTAAGTTGAACAATAAAGCTATTTTATTATAAACCTTTTGAATAGCTGTCCAATGTGATGCATTTTATATTTATAAAAATGTCAAGTGAAGTAGCTGTAAAAGTACACTTAAATATATTTAAAGAAAAATTTTGTTGTTGTTTATACTTTATTAATAATATGATGGTCTTTACTAAATCTTGTAACATGTTTATTTTATGATGTAATAAACTATTTAATGACAATTGTAAATAAGCTAGAAAAACCAATATTGATTATGTCTTTAATGTCTTTATATGGTATATATATATTAATATTGGAAGAAATGTATTTTTAATTGACTTATTTTCAGTTAACATGTAGACATATAAGGATTATTCTATGAGGCATAGAGAGTAAAAATAAATTTTAAAAAAAATTGTTTTTCACAAGATGTAATATATTGCTTATGATAATGTATTTTTTCTCATCTTTCTAGGATGGAATACAATTTAATTGAATGAAAGCTAACAGAACTTCACCTGGAATAATCATATAAATTTGTGCCTGAGTTTATTAGGTTGATTACTTTTTAAAACTTTGTTTTTATTAACATAAGTTGATAATTATTTTTAAAAAAACTTCTAAATTAATTTAGCATGTTCATTCCAGTAATTTTTGCAAAATTATCTTTATTACTAGTAATATGTGTTATTTTTTCTGCTATTTCTAAGTTCCTTGAAAAATGTATATAAGTATATTTATTGTGCAAGAAGTTTCATTGAAACAATTTCTTAACATCTAATTAGCACTAATTTGAATTACAATAATGCTAACATTACCAAAGCACACATGCATATATATATATACTTATTAAAAGATAGGTTTTCTTAGAGTGTTTCATAGTATTTAAGTTTTGCTGAACATTTTAGTATAACATTTAATGCATTTTAGAAATTTAATGGTGAATTTTCTGAATTCTTAGTTATAAAATTTTGATTACCTGATGCAGCTTTTCCCGACCTCTTTATCGCCATAAACCGGTTAATGTTTGATCATTTTACTGGGGCAGCCTGCTGAGGGGAGAATGACATTGATTGTTTATATTTTTGATTATTTTAATTTAATAATTTTAATTTTATTGTATTTAAATATGCCTTCAGAATAAAGTACAGTTACACCAAAAAATGAATATAAAGTGATTTAACATGGAATATGAAGTGATTTCCATGGAAAGTAGCACAAAACTGAGAGAAATACACCACAAGAAATAAAATGAAAATAATTTAATGTTCCTTGGACAGCCCGGTATCACGGATCCATGGACTGGCACCGATCCGTGGTTGGAGGGTTAAGGATCACTGATCTTATATATTATTTTTCTGTTTTTTCTCCTTATATTATACTGTTCTCTATTCCTTTTAAACCTTGAAACATTCCTAAATGTAAATATAATAAGATTGTTAATTTTAACTATCATTTTTCTTTTTATATATATAAAATGCAATAGTGCAATAGTAATGAGAATGTTATTAGGTTAATTTACAAATAAAATTTTTTTTCAGGAGTGTATCAAAAGCATTATGGCAAAAGTTCGCCAAATTCTTCTCTTGACTTGGAAGAACTTTAAGTTGCAATCTCGACATCCTTGGGTCACACTAATAGAGTTAGGAGTTCCGGCATTTTTCTCTTTATGCTTGGTTTTAGTTCGATCAGCCATCAGTTCAGATTTGGTGTCCAATCCAGTTATTTATGAACCTTTTAATGTTGATACCTTGCCAAAAAATTTGACACCTTCAGATGGAGTATGGGAAATTATATATGCTCCTGACACAGATTTTGCAGTTGAAATAATGAATGCTGCTGCTTCAAAGTTATCTGTGATTGCTAATAGTAAGTTTTGTTGCAATACTACTTTTTATTCAAGATATAGATCAAAATTTTAATTTGTTTCAGAAAAAATGTTGATACATGTATTAAATGTTGAAAAATATGTTTATATATACATGAGAAAGTTATGTACAATTTATAATTATAAAAGATATGGTTGCAACCTTTTTTCAAACTATGTATGCAGAACAGTTTTTACAAGCTGACTACTACCTAAAAGGCCAAAATAAACCAGTTTTAATATGGAACTAAGTTTAATGCTCTAATATATATGCAGGCATTTTGGTTTATTTTGAACTTTAAAAGAATTTTCAAAAATCTTCATTATCAAAATACAATTTCTAAATACTATAATGTACCATGTATATTATATTTACTTTTTTCTCATGGTTTAAACACTTCTTGGGAGAAACAATGCTCACACAGCTTTAATCTTGGCTTACTTTTTATATTCCTTTCAGTGATAAGTAGACAGAGCCATACTACATTATTTTCTTATGAAAGGTATCTGTAATAGATGTATGACATTCTAATTTATCTTGTATTTTTTACCATTAATTAATCTTAAGTTACTCAGTTTTCATTCCTCTTACTATATATGTAATCCCAGGCTGGGCAAGGTCGACTCAGCCTTTCATTCCTTCAGTCGGTAGATAAATGAGTACCAAGCTTGCTTGGAAACTAAACTGGTGTGTGGCATCAGACTGACAACCTGACTGGAACATCTGCTCATGCATCTCAGTGCCCAAGGTCATGAAAACTGAGATGGGCACAGTTGGTCTTGGCCCTTGTGGGCTGTTACACCACTGAGTTTATTTATTTTTTACTGTATATATTTGAAGAAGATGGTATGCTTGTCAATGAAGTAACCTTTTATGCTGAAATTTTTTTTTAAATTTTTGATCAACAGTTCAATGAAAAAAAAAGTTAATAGCAAAACATGAAAAATAAATTTAAAAAAAAAAATGAATAAAATATTAAAAATTAGAATTTTTATTTCTTGATATGTTATAGATTTAGTTAGTCAATTATGGAATGCAAATTTTTTTATGTGTATCACTGTTCAAACGGTTTTAGAGTAATTGTCAAGGAAAAAATAATTTTATGTTCTGAAGCAAGTGTGGCCAACTTTTTTAGAGAGAGTGCTACTTTCAGATAAAAAATAATTGAGCATGCCAT